GCTTATTTACAGAGCAAACCCCCTGAGCCCCATCTAACACCCACTGAATCTGCATCTCTGAAAAGGAGGCCCAGGGATGTGCCTTTCCCCAAACCTCCTAAAGAGTTTGATGAAATCACCACCCTAAGAATTTGGTATCTCGGAAAGAGAAGGTGGGTGGCATGCGGCACAGTGCCAGTCCATTCATCTCACTCTGTCATTCTTACTGCAGAAATGTCAGTGCTTCGCTGAACAGAAATGAGTATTTGGATGTGTTTCTTTATTTGTCGAACAAATGCATGCAGTACACATAGGACAAAGCAAAAATCAGCAAGGAGGAGACGAGGAGTCAAATGCATTGAATCAACACTGTAGGAAAAGCTAAACTTCTGATTAAGTATTTGTTGCTTGAGACACATTTTTTAAGAAAGGTTCTTTAGGCAAACTTGTCTAAAATGTCCTTGAAGTATTCTAAAGCAAATGAAACAGAAAAATCCACCCACATCAATATAAGAAATCTTACCATTCACAAAAGGCTCAATGATAAATGACTTTTATAAATATAAAATTAAATTAGAAGTGCCACTGGACACACTAGTTTATGACCAAATCCTTTAATTGCAAACATTAGATTTAGGCACGCTAGTCATTAGGTGAATGCATTTTAGGCTAATTGGCTAGCAGTGAACTGGTTTCTTGCACATTGGTCTTTTAATTTTCACATGTTGTGGGGCATAGAAATGGAACCTGGAGACCATGGCGATGCCCTCAGGATGGATTTGCCCAGGCGCTAGATGGAATGGATGCATCCTGGGCCTTGGGCACCCGAATACTCCAGACTCGGGCAGCATCATACTCTATGCAGTTTTCACCCTGAATCAGGGATCCTCAACTCCCCCTGTATGGCAAGCACCTGGGAAGACTTTAAAATCCGAACACCTGGCCCAGAGATTCTGCCTCAGTAGGTCAGATGAAGCCGAGGAATAGAAACTTCTAGCAAATGTCAGGGGATGTTTTCAAGTGGCCCTAGAACTCTGATTTAAGGATTAGTGCCATTTTTTGTTTGTTTCCAGTAAAAAGACAAGAGTAAGAGTCTAAGAGTAGTTTTTAAACACGACTTTTTAAAAATACAAAGCTGGATCCCCCCCCATCCTGGGTAGGATCCCTGAGAAAGGGTGTGGGGGTCCCCCTCAGTATGATCCTAGTATACCCCTGGGACAGAGAATCACAAGCTGCAGGCACTCTGGGTCGTGGAGTCCAGGGCCTCACCATTGCTCCGGGCCAGGCACCCTGTGGAGAATGTTGACATGCATGTGGGAGGAACCATCCAGAAGCTAGTCGAGAAGACAAGGAGCTGGCAGGAATGAGCACACAGTTGAGCAAAATGAAATACGGGTGCTGACCACCAGAGTCACAGGAGCTCAGGAGAGGAAAGGCTGCAAGGGGGAGCTGGGTCTTCTGTTGTGCTTCGGAGGGTGAATGCATTTCTGATCGTCAGGCTCGTGTTTCGGGAAGTGGGGACTACAGGCTCTGAAGAGGGAATGAGCGTGGTTATGGGGAAACCCAGTGTGGTGCCCGGCCTGACCGGAGAGCCAGGGAGATGTAGGAGCTGTACAGGAATGGCCAAGAGTTACACTTGGACTTACAGCGTTGACTGCAGTAAGGGGCCATTGCAGGACCTTGAGCATCACCTGTGCTTTACAGAGATCTCTGGTGCAGGGTGGGAATGGAGAGACGGCTGGGCCTTTTTTATCTACACAATAAGAACAGGTGAGGTCCCAGGCTGGTGTCATGGTCAAGGGGGCAGAAGACACAGAAGTGTGCTAGGGACAGAAAGATAAATTCAGAATGGCTGATCTTGTACACCTGTCTCCACATCGAGTCTCCAGATCTCTTATAAGGAATGACCTGGTTTTACGATGTCATAAAGATATAAAAAATAGGCACTGCCACGTCTCTAAGGACCTGAGCTGCCGAGGCACGCCCGGGTCATCCACAGTGCTGGAGACAGATGGGACTACAGAGCTGATTTACTGAAAACCAACCAAAAATTATTTTAAATGGTTCACTTTCATTGTCTATCCCTGTTTAATCTATGCTCATGTGTGACTCAACAACCAGAAGGAAGCAGCAGGCAGGAGAGGGAAGAGAGGGTTCCCAGGGCCCCAGCTGGTCTTTCCTGGGACAGTAAAGTAACCATTTCCACTGTTGGTCCCGCTGGGCATTTCCTTGTTGCCTGTTTTGATAGAATTCTTGGCATGCACTTGGTTATTTCGCTTGTGATGAAACCAAGTAAGTTTTGCTATGGAAGTTTGATAAGTAATACTGTGACTGGAGGATGGTGTGCAGGAAGTCAGAGCTTCACAGGGACCAATGCCATCACCGTGCCTTCCTGGGCAGACGGTCCCATTTGCCCTCCTGGCTCTGCTTTCTCCTGCCCAAGCATCTGAGCACCTCCTTGCCTTAGACAGGCAACCAGAACCACAAAAGAAGGAATCATGGGTCAAGGATCCCTGATGAAAAGCTTTAACGCTTCCGGGCACATTGCATTTGCTAGGTTTGTGCTAAAACTTTCAGGAGTCCCAGGAATGCCCCCTTCAGGAACAGGGACAAGGCAGAGGTGGTGAGTTTCTGCACCTCTGCCACTTTGGAATTAGTACCACGGCATCCCGTGCATGGGGGGTGGTAACAAACAGGATGAGCCTTCTGGGGAGGGCATGAGGGAGCCTGGTGGTCATGATTGGGTCCCAGTGTGGTGTTAGGGGAGCCATCCTACCAGGCCCCCTGAAACCATTAGGCTTTTCTGTGTCTCAGCTGTAGGATCAGCAGTTCGGTGTTCCCACACCCACAGCTGTGTGATCCCAACACTGCAATCCATTTTATGCTCACATCTGCCTCCAGCCTAGCTTTCTGGGAAGGTGTGAATTCATTTCTCACAAGAGCATCATAGTTTCAGCTCACTCTGTAAACATGTTTTGAGCCCCTTACTGTGTGAGCTAGGCGCCTGTTCAAGATGCTAAGGATATAAAGACAAATTATTTGTGGGCTTTGTTCTACAGAGGAGACGGCTGTGTAAACAGGAAGCGCAGATCAGTGTCTTCAGAGCCCGGTGCCATCCTCAGGAAAAGGGAGATAATGACAGTGTCCACGTCACAGGCTTCTGTGAGGATGAAACTGGTTCGACACAAAAGGCACTCAGAACAACTCTGGGCACGTAACAGGCCTGTTGCAAGCGCTGGCTCTGGTGACACTGACATCGTCAGCACTGGCATGCCGCACTCCCACAGTAGGTCCAGCGGGTGCAGAATGGAAGGAGTGACAGTGATCGAGGAAAGTTTTTCAGGAGTGGTCATTTTTGAGCAGTATCTTGAAGGGAGAGTAGGCATTGACCAAGAAGACGAGAGAAAGTTCCAATTTGAGGGAACGTGACAAAGGCCCAAGGGAGTGGAAATGCCAGGTGGTTTGGGGAGCTCGGCGGTTCAGGAGTGAGGGCGGATGCCTGTGAGTCATGGTGAGAGCGAGTCCTGATCGGAGGGAAGAGGGGCCTCGAGGGCTCACCTCAGTTTCTCTGTGCAATAGGAGAGGTGCCCACTGAGCTGGGAGCCAGGGGAGGGGAGGCGGCAACAGCCCTGGGAGGATGTGAGGAACAGAGGCCACCTGGGAGGAGTGAGCTGGGGATGGAGACTTAAATTTTGGGTGAGCAAATAAGTAAAATCCACAGGAGAAGAGCTGTACATGTCAAAGGAGAGACTGGTCAAAGCAAGACAGGAGCAACTATTTGCAACTGGAGGCACCAGAGCAGACTTCAGGGAGGCAAAGTGTGAACGTGAAGAGACGAACTGAGCAGCAGAGACCAGGGAAGCCTCAAGTGATGTGTCACAGTTGAGCTTTAGTTCTAGGTCATTGGTAGGTTTTAAACTGAGGAGTGACATGATCAGATTGGTGCTCTAGGAATGTCAACTTGGCAGTACTGTGGTAATTAAACTGCCACCTTCAAAGCAGACAGATCGTTGGAGAAAAATCTAGGGCCTCAAAGACCAAGAGTCGAGCCCTGCCCTGCTCCCTGCATGAGCACCAGGTGTGAAGTTGTGCGTGCTCGCCCACCTTCCCTCTCCTGCCGCCCTCCTGGCCACGTTCTCCCAGGCAACCTGCAACCCTCATAACTCAGCCTTGTGCCCCCCCAGTGCTAGATGATGCCCAGGAATGTGGGGTACAGCAGAGGACTGCAGGTCATCCCAAAGACAAAGACGCCCTGAGGGTCTGGTCTAACCTTAAGCTTCCCTTAATTTGGAGCATCTGTGGGAATTTCAGTGCCACTATCATGGAACCAGGGGTTCGGGTGGGGACCAGTTCCCCCAAGCCCGTGGAGTGCCTGTCAGAGCCTCCCTACAGTTTGAACAGCCTGCCTTGGGTGCCATGTGAGTTGGTGGGCCAGCCCAGTCACCATGCCCAGAGCTCACCCCATACGGGGCACCTGAACCCTCTGTGACGGCAGATGCTCCCAGAGCATCCTCCCAGATGCGGAGATCGCCCAGGTTACAGATGAGGGGATGGAGAGTGGCTACATTAAAGTCCCTGTGGAAGGTATGCTGTAGTGGACTTGAACCTAGGGCTTCCTTCTAATCTGAAAGTGCCAAATGAAAAGATATGTTCACATCGTGACGGCCCAGTTGTAGGCATTGTGGCCCATCCTAGAAAAGGTCTCTGGAAGTCCATGGGTTTCCACGACCAGAGGGTGCATTGCATTCGTTCCCTTCCCTGCTGCTGGTGAGCCTCAGGCTGACAGCTGTGTGACAGACACTAATGCCTGAGTCCCTGGGGGCCCTTTCCGCCAGCACACTCCAGGCAGGAAACAGGACATGGTGGGTGCTTGCTGAGCACCACTCACCCTGCTGGTGTCTTCAGTGGGTGCGTTTTATCTCAGGTCCCCCCAATGCCCATGGCCTCACGGTGGGCCCGTGCAGTGTTCTGAGTTTCTTCCCCCCAAACTCACACCTGTCTCTCACCTCCTTCTGCCACAGATCCTGGCGCCCCTGTGAAATTGCCTTGTCTGCCAGTGAAACTGTCGCCTCCGCTACCTCCAAAGAAAGTCATGATCTGTATGCCTGTAGGGGGGCCAGACCTCTCCCTGGCTTCCTACGCAGCCCAGAAGAGCGGCCAGCAGGGTGGGGCGCAGCACCACCACACAGTCCTACCGTCCCAGATCCAGCACCAGCTGCAGTATGGCAGCCTCGGCCAGCACCTCCCCTCCGCCACCGGCTCCCTCCCCATGCACCCCTCGAGCTGCAGGATGATAGACGAGCTGAACAAGACGCTGGCCATGACCATGCAGAGGCTGGAGAGGTAATGGGGTGGGGTGAGGGCTGGAGGATGAACTTGGCTGGGGATTGGGGAGAAGGGCTGGGGGTTTGATCATGACACAGGGATATGAAGGCCAAGGCAAGGGCTCATGCCACTGGGGGTGGGAGGAGAGTTTGGAAGTAAAATCAGACCAAAATCCGAAGGTCAAGGGAAGTGTAGGAAAAAATAATAATGTTGCCAGTTGCCAAACTATGGAACAATCACATTTCTCAAAAAGAAGCAGCATACATGCTAGCACATATTATATTTCCATAAGCCTTAACATTTTTTGAAAGCATACACACATAATCATTAGTTACCCCTAGGGCAGGGAGTTGGGGAGCAAATCTCTTGTTTTCTTTTTTCATATCTTCCTATACTAATTTTTTACTTTATAGATATTTTATGATATAAAATGCCCATTTGAATGTAAATTAAAAAAAGACTAGAACTGGCAGAATGGCAGTGGAAAACCAGAGGGATGGGAAAGGTGGAGAGTGTGCCTGTTCGTGCTGGTGGAGAAAGTGGAGTTCTGCAGTCTGCTTAGATGCCTATGAGCCTGTGATGTTCAACAAGTGGTGCAGCCCCCTCCTTCACTAGAATCTGCTTCTAATGGCATTGCTGGGAGATCTTCCAAGAGAACCCCAAGGGTAGGCCTGCAGCAAAGACCCTGACTCCCCAGCCCTTGGGGAGAGCTCTCGTGCTTGTTCTGAATAGCTCTGATGTACGTGTGTGTGTGTGTGCGTGCGCGTGCGTGTGTGTTCAAACACCACCCTTCCTGGGCCCAGAGGTGGCTGAAATTTCCCACTATGATTCTAAGGTGTGTTGCTTGACCTAGTTCCCTTGCCTGACAAGAAAGTGGCGATCTGGCATGAAGGGTGTATCTGAGCTGGGACCCTTAATGCCTGTCCCAGGTTAAGACCTCTGTTAACTGGGTCCTAGGGATGGCAAATTGCACTGTGGGTTCCCAGCTGATCACCAGGCAGAGAGCCAGAGGCAGACGGACACTGTCGGGAGCTTTCTGGTGCACCTTCCCAGCTCTCAGTGGCTTTCTCCCTCCCTGCCTCTCAGCCAAGCATTCTGTGTTTGGGAAATTGGTGACTCCAAGGGAAGACACTGCCGCTAGGTATCCTGACTTGATTGTGCCACATTAATAGCTATTGTCACAGAAGAAAAACAAATGTATTTGGCCCCTTGTCATCATTTCAACTGCTATTATTGTTAATGAGGACAATAAAGCTTAAAGCTTGGATGACGCTTTTTAGTTGACCACACACCTTTGTTATCATCTTAATCCTCACACCACCTTGGGAGATGAGAAACTAAGGAAGGCTGAGTTCCCCAATGCCAGCTGCTCAAAGAGTGGACCACACACTGCCTGTTGCCCATCTGCAGCCAGATGGGAAAGAAATTAAGAGCCAGCCTTTACACTCTTTTATGGCCATTTGACAGAATAATGTTGTATGTTGAATCTTATAATAAAAAAGAATTTCATTTTTTATATTTATTATATTTTACAAAAACACCCATTTGTGATGGATTGAAAATTAAAATATGTAAATAAAACAACCAACCAACAAAACTGGTCTTTCCCCATGGACATATAGGAAAGCCCTGCCCTAGGTAGTCCTACGAGGCGTCGCACCTTCCAGCCTGGTCGTCCAGCTGCACACCCAGAGCTCTGTCTGTTAGAGGGCAGCTGCTTTCCTCAAGGCAGCTAACGGTCAACATACTCCCTGTCCCGTGTCTACTATATATCCAGTAAGTTTTTGTATCTCTCGGGAGCTTTAATCAATTGAAAAAAAACACTCTGGACAGTATACTAGGAGGACATTGCTGAATACGCTTACACTTAAAGCATGCCATTTTATAAGGTGCTGTTGACAGCCCTAAGCCACAAGTTACACAATGTTCCTCGGTTCAGTAGTTTCTGTGTATTTGTAGAATATTTCAGTGGACTGTAGACCAGTGGGTAGGTCTCTTGACCTAAACCAAAGCAGGTTCTTTATCAAAATGAATCCTAGAAAACAAATGTGGGGTGGCTGGAGGGGAAGTGTGATATTATGGGAGGTGGGAGTGGGCCAGAAGACAGCATGACCTTGGCAGCGGAGCCAAGGCAACCCCCAGGCTGTTCTTTCCTCCTCTGTCTCCCTCCCCTCTCTTCCCAGGTCAAGGCCCGGGTTGGTTCTGATAGACCGGCCAGGACATAGGGCATTAGTGCATGTATCACTTTGACAAGGGAGACCTTCGGGAAAAGAGAGGCTTTATTCCCAATCAAATAAAGATTGAGAGATTTTTCTGAGCATTCACATTGCCTTCCAGGAGATCTGGCAGGAACTGGGAACAGAACAAGGTCACAGGCCACCTGTCAGTTCAGTGCGGGAACTGCCACTGTCTCCGGTGATGTTACCCTTTTTATTTTCTAAGAATTCTCCCTGTTGCCTGTCAACAAGATCTCATTCTTGTTCTGACCAAATTTAATACAGAAGGAAACAATTATTTACATCTAGCAATTCCAGTGACTCCAAAACACACCGCAAGAAGAAAGAAACATTACCGAACACTTAGGCATGTTGCCCACAAAGACCCTTAGATCTCCCAGAATGTCACCTGTAGGGCATTAGTCCAGACCTCCAGTCTGATCCTGATGAAACATTGTAGTTCGCGTGTAAATTGAATGAAGAATTAAACAGCTTTAATGTCTGACTTTGGACCATAAATTTGAATCAATAGTCCTGTTTCAATTAAAACAGCCCACCCGTTGCAGTGTTCCTGACTATTTGTCTTCTAGTCTCTTGGAGAAAGGGAGCTTCCCTAGGTACCATTATCAACAAGGTATGATTATTACAAAGTTCTTTATTACATTAAGCTAAAACTTTTACTTATTATAAACCCCCAATCTTATTTCTAATCTTTTACTGTGAAAGGCTTTCAAGTCTTTGAAGATAGCTACCGTTTACTTTATCTGTCTTTCCCTCTTCTATGTTAATAATCCCAAATCCATGTAATCACTTATTGAGATGGTTTCTAGACTCTCTACATATTGTTTATGTTCTCCCAAGATTCTTCTAAATCTGTTCTAATTTGTATGAAGTTCTTAATCATTACCTTAACCTGAACCCTGTTGGATGACACTAAGAAATAACATGTGGTTAGATAGTTATAACATTGACTCACCGGATTTGATGGGAGCGGTGCAGGAGAGAAATAGAGACCAGCTGCAGCCAGCTTAGACACATTTATCCAACGCCTCAGGGCTGCCCTGGGCAGCGTGGCCACGCTGGAGACAGCCCCATGCCATGGCTGAGCGCCTGAGGGCCAGGTTTCAGTCTCAGAGACTCCACGTCCTTTTGCCTTTGATTCCACATGTGTAAAACAGGAATATTAACACCACCACCCCATTGGCATTGTTTGTGAAGAACAAATCACTTAATTCAAACCACTCATCTTATTGGATAGCATAACAGGAAGTGCTCAATAAATGGTAGTGAGTATTAAGCAAAATTATATAGCACACAAAATTTGCCTTCAGTGCCCCTAAAGGGCATATTGCAAATAGGTTTGATCTATCTTGTGGATTTTGTTTGTTTTGTCAGTTTCCTCAAATTAGATTGTTTTCATTTGTTTCCTCTCCACTCAAGATTCATATCCTTTTTGAAGATATTGTTTTATCATCTCAAATATTATGCAATATTTATTTTTAATATCTACAGTAAGCTCTGTGATCTAGTTCGCGTCAATCTTGGAAGCTGGACTTCAAATCCTAATCAGCCACTGATTTTCATTCCCCTCTTAATTCAGTTGATCAGTTCTGTTAGCTGGGAATTAAATTATTGAATATTGAATTATTGAATATTGAAAATATAATAATTTCAAAATTGGACAGAAAAAAATTGAAATCAGCAGCCCCCCAAATCCCTTCAATCTCTACAATTCTGTTATTCCATAATTATTTTAGGCCTTTCAAAGAGAACAAATCATTCATTATCCTAGTATAAATACATTTCATGGTGACAATTACTTTTCTTCATGTGACCTCAAGGGTCACAGGAAATTCTAAAGACTGATTCTTAAAGACTAATTCCTGGTCCTGAACTAGATGATCCCCAGGGTTTCTTTTAGCCCTAACAGTCTGACATAATTACTGCATTGGCTTATGTTAGTGATGTTTCCACCTGCAAATAAGACTGTTCCATGATGATAACTAGAGGTGCATTGGTGCCCTAGCAAAAGTTAAACTCTGAATACCTGAGTGTTATTTGCTTGTGAAGCAGCATATCTGAAGAAGTTCAGAATTTTGTTTATCATCATAAAAATGGCATATGTTTTTAGGTGAAATGCATTTTCAGGGAAAGATTCCTTTTTCTTATTTCGATGACCGCCTCTTTAAAATCTAACGCAGTTCTGGTTAGACATTTGTCCCTGACTATTTGAGGTCAGAGTTTTATCAACCTCTTACATGAGGTCAGTTCTTTGATTTTAAAGCATGTATTTATTACCTATAAGTGGCTGCCTGTAGTTACTGTTTTACCGCTTAAATGCTATTCCAAGGGGCATGATGAGATTTCAGTGCAAGGTATTATCACCGTCCCCTGAAAGGTTGGTGAGCAAACTGGTTAGAGGAAGATTAAAATGAGACTGTACAAACCATTAACATCTTTTGAAATCTTAAGAGGATTAAAGGAAGTGTATTTTTAAGAGACAGAATATGTGCCTGAATTCCTACGTGTACATCAGTTGAAACTCTGCCTTGCCCAATGCATAAATAGTGATTCTTGGATCTTGCAAACTATTGCCCAGAAAGATTTTGCAAACCAAAAATATAAAAATGCTAAAAGAAGTGTTTTAATAAATTAACAAATAATATCCATAATGACAGGTTTATGTAATTGCTGGTGTTTAAATACATCCCTGTTAAAACAGCAACTACCTGCTTTGATGTTCATAAGGCACAACAGCACCAGCATTATCCTCTGATCTCACAGGAGCCTGTGAGGTGGGCA